TTAAGAATCAGTATAGATATGTGTGCTTTCTTTCTTATGGAAAATCACAATAGCTAGTGGTTAACTTGATTGACTAAACACTACCAGTCTGCTGTAAAAATACATATAATTTCATAATAATAATAATAATAATAATAATAATAATAACAATAATAATAACAGTAAGACTGATTGGCATGATTGCAATCTTACTATGAATACTGAAAATTGCATGTTTGGGATTTATCAATAATACAGTTCTGTATTAAATTTTAAAATTAATTTTCCACATCAGTTTTTACTAGCTATCCCCTTTTTTAAAATTAAACAAATAAACCACTTGTTAAGAATTTGTCACGGGAGTGATACAGCACTTTAAAAACAATAAACTCATGTAAGAGTTCATAAATTTTTAGGTTTAAGACACATTTTCTATCCAGTTGAGATTAGGTTGAAATTCGGAATCTATGAAATAATCAATGTTTTCGACTTTTGCATAAAATTTGAATAAGTGTTTTCTGATTTCTGACATATAATTATTAACTGGTCTAGAAAGAAACACTTTTAATGTAAGTATGAATATGTACCGTTATAAAATTAGACATATGTAAAATTATTAAGTTGTAACGTTTCATTAATTGATTAGGATACTTTCAGCTTGTTTCGTTTTGTTTTACTGCAAAAAGAAACGAGATTATTATAAAAGTAGTATATTTATAATTAGAGGATAAAAATCACAGAAAATTAAAGGTTTTAAAATTTAGCTTTTAAATTTTGACACTTGAACATGGCATTCCTAGTTGCCAATGGAGCTAAACTCAAACACAGAGTAGTCACATAAGAAACTTCAATAAATGATGCTTAATAATCAGTAAGAACGAAATACACTACCAAATCAAATATCTCAAATTTTTTCCGAACATCTTCAGATATAAATGTTTTATAAATCACTGTAAACGTGTTTAGAATATGACATTCATTTTTTTACACAAAAATCTCAATTTAACAATAAAGCAACAGACTTAAATATAATTCTATTTTGATTTTAAAGTAATTATCACTACAGTGAACTGGATGAAGTAATCGGATTACCTAATATTTTCAGTGTGCTTGCAAATCATACTATAACATTTTACACATAAGAAAGATATGCATTTGAAAACTTTACGATAAAGTATTTATACTTATTTTGAGTCTTGTCTTGTGCCAGTCAAGTACCTTGAATTGTTATGAATGGTTTTGAAAGTGCTTTCATCACATTCCGAACCTGAAAGTGGATTTCTATGCAAGAATCTTTATTTGGACGTAATAATTATCCAATAAAAACAAGAATTATTCTATTGAGCATGAGATGTAATGATTGGGTGAGGTCGTGCAAAATCTGTAGACCACTCAGTGTTAGACAATAACATCCGTTGGATGCCGGCCCAGTGGTCCGATGGTTAGGCGTTCGCGCACACTACCGAAGGTCCTGGGTTCGAATCCTGCGAGGTGCAGGATTCGTGGATGCGCACTGCCGATGAGTCCCATACCAGGACGAAACGGCTCTCCAGTGCTTCCAGGTTTCTAATGGTGGTCTAACAATGATTGACTGATGATTTCAAATGTGTAAAAACACAAACCTCAAAAACTCTGCTCCAAAATATCGTAACAGTGCTCACTAATGACTAGCTTCGTGAGGAAATTCTCGGAGTTCTAGTTGAGAAGACTTGATCAATGGAGTTCAACCCTGTTGTGTGTAGGCAGTAACTACCAAAGACAAATGGGTGAGGTCGCGCAATATCCCTAGATAAATCAGAGTTAGACATTAACACCGTTGGATGCCTGGCCCAGTGGTCCGATTATTAGGCGTTCGCGCCCAAAGAATTGTTTCGGAGGTATACAAGTAATTATGGGAATGAGTGCAAATTACTGAATAATATTCATCATTATTCATGATATCTAACAGCTAGATTTGCTTTATAAGCCGGATAAAATTAAATAAGTAAATAATACATTGATTGTACTGTTAATAGGATGTCAGTAAAATTGGTTCATTCTTAAGGTCAATGTCTAAACACATATTTTATATTGACAGAATCAATGTTGGATTATAGATTGGGTAGATATATCTTTGAAATTTAATACTTTTCTTTTGAATGAGTTGATTATCACTGTCTAATTACTGAAAGAATGTTTATCGGAGTCTATTGATTTGCTGCTTCCCAGTATGTAATAGGTCTTATCGTTTCCATATTTTTAAATTTGGCTGACTAAAAAAACTGTTCAACAAACACATCATCTGCAAAACATTGGCTTTCACTTCTGCCATTAAATTAGAAGAAGTTTTACTGTCTACAAACAGTAGTGAAAGGATACAGTCAACTGTCGTTTTGAAAATGTTAACATTCGATTAACACTTTTATATAATAAATGTAAAATTATTTGACATTATGTAATATGAATTCTTATGCATAAATCATCTGATTATTAGGGAATAATGATGCGAACAAAAGTAGAATGATGCTGCCTAACATTTTTGTTCTCTTGTGTGTGAAATCTTTTCATCATTTTAACATGATAAAATTTAGTTGTACAATCCTTTAGTTTATCTATCTAACAAATAAGAAAAAAGGGATATAACGCTTTTTAGATGTGAAGAATATGTGCATCTTGAGTATAATTTATTTATTAAAAACAGTTTATTTTGATGTTTTTTTTTATAAAGAGATATGTTGTTCACCTTGCTGATATTTTTATTATAAACTGATGTCTCTCTTACTTGTTAACTAACAAATCTTCATGGCTTGATGAAACATAACCGATTGAAATCAATGAATGTTTCCTTAAGTAAACATAAAAACGATTTCGAACATTTTACAAGCATGAATTGTTTCGATGTTAAAACTTAAAATATTAGTAATATGGTTACCGTGATAAGAAAGCATATCCGGCTACTTAGTTTAAAACGAAATTAACGGAAATTTGGAAAACTGGCTGGTTGAAGACTTTTTCAAGGAAAAATTCAAATTCTATTGATAACAATCGAAGCCAATCATTGGATCTGCTAAGCAGATTGAACTAAGTACAATTTGTTTAAGCTTCTTCATCATTATTTTGTTAAATTTCTACATCATCATTCTTATGTATTTCATAGAATGGCTTGTACTAACTTCAGGTAAAGCACATTAGTCCTAATTGGCCAGTTATAATCACTGTTCTTGAAGTATTTTTTCATAGCCTAAAAACCGAAAATATGTTTGAATAATTTAGAAAGTGCTTTGAGAAGACGAAGATTATCCAAATTATGTAAGGAGGAACAAGGGTTAAGATCATCCAGATTAAGATGGGAAAACAATGTGAAATCAACCACCCTGAATAATAAAACAACATTACCAGGGTAGGTTTGTAGTGAGAATAAACTCTTTTTCGAATGCATCAAAGGGGTTTAAACTTTTGTATGACCAAGGCTTGTATACATTACCACAATAGTTGAGTTAAGATCAATCCACTGTGTACTGGGGAGAAGATGGATGTTTATCATCTACTCATACTGGGTCAATTGACTTGATTTCGTTTCGCAGCCATTTTATTATTGTCTTCATTTGTAGCCTTTTTAGACAAAACATTTAGTATGATTAAACAGCTGTTTAACTATATAAATAGTGGGTTACTAATACCCAGGTAAATTGTTTGATAATACTAGGTATTTCTGTGTTTGTGTGTGTGCGTGTGTGTGTGTACACTTCACAACTTACATTATGTTTTGATTTTTTTGTGCATCCCTTTATGTTTATACTGTTCTAAATACTTGCAATTTGTTCGTGAGTCGATTGCATTTTCCTTTTAATTAGACCAAAAATAATTTCGATATGCCTAAATGTATCTGAATTTTATCAATTGTAAAGAGATAATTAGATATTATATAGAAATGCATATTTTCATTTAACAAGCTCTATATGTATCTCTGTATCAAACTAATTAATGATAGTACTTATACAAGCGGTATCTGACTGTGTACGAACCTTGTAATTACTATCATTAAATCGATATGTTTATTTAAATCATACTTCAGTTGCATAGTCCACTTATTACATATTTTTTGATGATGATGAAGATTAAGATGCCAGCAGGGGTAACATGGAACTGTGCACTTTTATTGTTTGAAAAAAAATAATCTTTCTAAACTGTAGAGTCATAATTCATTGTTATTCCGGTTGAAATCTTCAATGTCTACTTCATTAGGATGTACATGAATTAGACAATGAAGACGTTGGCCAAAATAACAATGAAAGCTTTGCAATAAAACTATCTAGAGAACAGAGAACATATTCTATTCAAAGACATTTACTCAAAGCTACAGTTTTCTTCATCAGTTATCATATTCTAATATCTGTTCTATAAGGTAGGGACTATTTTATTATGTTATCAATATTCTGACAAGTGACTTCATTCTCTCAATATAAAATATAGATTAGGATAACCTTTCATGGTTTATAAACCTCCAATAAAATGTACTATCTAGGAAAATTAGCCTCCCTTTTTAAACACTTTGTTTTTGAAGAAGAATCAACAACCATTCGTCCAAGAAAATTTTGTTCCGATGGTATATTTTACTGATGTTGTACAGTTGTATTTATAATTAATTTACGAAGTAAATAGTGTACTGAAAAACTCTATCACAATTACACCGTAACTTGTGTCAAAGAAAGAACTGAAGACAGATAATAATTTGAAACCAACTATATCAAGGATAATTATTCACTTGACAAGTATGAGAAGGGTGAACAGTGAATCAAAAACATAAGTGTGATGACAACGAATAATTAGAAAATTTAGAAGATCGGAAACATCAGAAGGATTTAATATTATGAAATTATTGTTTATGAAAATTGAATTGCCAGCTGTGTATAAGTTACGAATTTGTACCTCTTTTGTAACAGATCATCTGAAAGCATGGACAATTTTTAAATAAGTATGTGATGAAGCTATGTGACTAGAATTAACAAGTTGTTCAAATATTTAATATCAAAATATAAAACATGGTACAAGAAGCTAGTGTGTCAACAGCTAAGCGACCGAAAACTTGGCATTTTAACAAATGGTATTTTTGTATACAAAATGTTAAATTTTTGAAAAAGTTACTCTTAACTAATGTAACTGTCAAACAAGCATGCTTATATACTAGAATTTGCCGATTGTGAGTCAGAATACAAGACTGCATTGAAATAATTAGGGTGGTATTCCTCTAAGTTAAGTGAAACTGATTAAAGATATTACACTTATTCGATATCAGATTAAGTCTTAGCATTGCATAAAGTTTTATATTAACTGGAACATTTAACATATTGAATTTTGATTGCTTTCACCATAAATCTGTTGTTCATCATTTTATTTTAATACAGAACTTCGAAGCCAAGTGATCAAAGTGTTCAGTCACCTCAATTATGTCAGATACCTGTTCCAGATAATTCACAACCACAGAGTTCAACACAGCATATTTTTCGACTTGAAGGAACTTTGAAAAATTCACCTCAGAATTACAAAACACTAGGATTTAAACTATTAAACGATCATTTCAGAGCTGAAACTCATACTGTACACTATCCACAAGTTTCTAAGACCGAGGTAAATAAATTTCAAGAGCCATTTTATCAGAGTGCATTATCTAAAGAAGCTGCATTAACAAGAACACCAGTTAACCCTTACATTCAAAAAGGTCATACATTGCTGAATAATTTAACTTTCACACCGTCAAGTCAACAGATCCTACAAAATACATATTATCCTACAGTTTCTAACCATCCAAACACTGGAGTTTATCATCAAATTGGAATACAAAAGGATTTACCGACAAATTCAAATTACATTCGTGTTATAAATACAAATAATAAATTAGATGAAAGTTTAGTTTATACGCACCTAGGTAATCGTAAAACTGAACTTCAACATTTAAATCCTGTTTGTGAAACTATCAAAAATAAACCCCAATTATCTTTCCCTGATTATACACGCTCTATTCGGTGGGCTGCTGAGAAAGGTTTGATATCAGCTGCAAAACAAAAACGAATTCTCTGGGAATCATCAAGAGAGAAAACCTCTCCACTTCAGTTGGTAAGTTTAGAATTTTATCATTTGGTTGCCAACTTGTAACATTCTTCTTTTACCACTGTAAATATAGGTCATGGAAGTGTTTCTTTTTTAGTAATTATTTGGGGCAATTTTTGCAATAACTTCACTGTCATTTGAAAAATCAAGTTTTTGCATTGATAAAACATATAATACGTACTCAATAAGCTTTTACATTTCATAGCATCTTATACTTAACCATTCGTCGGTGGCTCCAAAATCTACTCAGAATTTAAAGTTGTAATAACCTGGGCATATTACTTTGTCAACCACAAATCAATATTCTGTATCTGATCGGACATCTGACTGTATATTTTCATGATATGTTTCGTTTTGATTAGTTACCTAACTGTACAAGATATTGCGTCATCACTACCAAGATTTTCATTGTATTTCCAAATGTCATTTTGTGGTCATGTAGTAATTGTGTAACATAGGCTAATAATATCATACTGAACAAAACAATTGAGTTTTCAAGTCATTCGGTGACATTTCGTGAGAATTCTAATGTAGATTTAATTGATAGTTCTCGAAACAATTTTCCAACTCGTTCTCTCAGTAATTGAAACAGATTGGAAATATTCATTGAATGTTTTCTAAATTTGAGTTCTATGCTTTTTATTCTACTTGATGACTGTTTTAACTGACAAATCAAGTCAACACTGAAGCTTACGCTTAAACAATGTTCCGTGAAGTGAGACGGGTCATTAATGTTTACGAGAAATGGTTGTTAACAGTAGTAAATTTTTGGGAAACACTATAACTACACAGCTAGTAGAGATTTGGATGTTCAACAGTGCTTTCAACATAATATTTTCTTTTAAAAAAATATGTTTTGACAGATACAAAATTTTATCTGTGTAGTATTTCAACATTTTGAATTTATATCCCGCTAAGAGCTGACCTTTCCTAAGGTCAGTCAAATGTTTAGTTAATGAAACAAAATGAGAACATTGGAAGTAGTAATCTACAAAACGATTCACTAGAAATGTCACATTTAAAATATATACAATATACAATTTATTATTGTTTTTTATGCAAAATTTAACTACAATATATTACTCATTTTCGGTGTTTAATCGACACAGCTCACAAATATTTCATTATGTCCTATTTTTACTATAAATTTAACAGTCTGATGATCTTTGAGTGAAACTAGTGAAGCGAATATGAACATAAAAATGTGAGAAACACTTTCGTGAAATTATTTGTTTAAAAAGTAAGACTAAAACGTACAAAACAATTTTTACTTATCAGATGTTAGATGGCCAAAAGTAGTCATCAGGGAATCCTGGATCCGAGACCCAAGCTGGTTAGCATTAGTTACAAAGACGTACCTGTAATCTTGATGGAAATTATAATTGTATGTGTCAAACAAGGATTCAAGTCGTTTAAATTGGTTATTTTGTAAAATTACCTACACTAGCTAATATTAACTTGGTAAAAACTATATTTTCTATGACTAACTGATGTTTGCCTCCGTTCTCAACATCTTTAACAGGTTTTTTGATTGTCTGATGGTTCTTTTTATGAAATTCTGTAAAAGGAATCTTTAATTCTAAGTCGACGGAGATGTAATTTCAGCTAAGTTTTGTTCGATAGTCTGGATGGTTCGATCGAGTTAACCATTTGAATAGACGCGCATGCGGAATTGTGTTAAGGAGGCTGTATGATGAAAAAGTTTTTAATGTTTAGTCAAATAGCTTTCGTTCGTTTTATTTCCTAGTCGAATAGACTTAAGCGTCAGGGAAACTCCTATTCAACTGAATAATCCAATACAAACTTTGAGTCTAAAACTTTTGGCTATATGGATATAAATCATTAGTTGCTTCGATTAAGTTATAATTTAGTTAAAGCTTTAAGGATTTTAGAACTCTCTGCTATATTTGAATAGTCACTATTTTTAGAATTACTGTTTACTTATAGTTTTATTGAACTAAGAAATCCAAAGTTAATCGATCCGTTAACTGATATTCTGATCTGATCTTCACAATTTAGCATTTTAAGACACTTTCTCTGTCTAATCTCACCATTTTGTACTTAAGCTTCAATATCACTGAATTTTAAACTTAATTATCTATTCGGAGTAAATAATCTCTCTAATAGAGTGGAAGGTAGTTTGAAAAAAAGATGGTTTAAGAAAATAACTTAATTTAGACCCACTTTATCAATGAATAGATGATTGATATTAATTCTAGTTAAATATGAAATGTTTCGGTGAATAAAGTTTGGATTCTGGTATTGCATTGAAAAGTTATTTTCATACATATTCGCTGAACAAAAAGACTTAGAAATAGAAAATTCACTTACAGTCTGGTGTTAGGAAAATAATTACTAGCTGTACAAAGAAACATAAAAAAAGCTATACATCGACTACCGTCTTACTAAAAAAATTATATAAACCGATAAAAATCCTACTTTTCACTTTTATATAAATCCCTTAGGAGAAACAATGGTTGAAAATATATTTGAAACAAATAGTCGATGTAAATTTTATGACATGATGGTTTAACGGTTGTAATTTTTCGTAATCGCTTTAAAAATTACATTGCTCTTATATATATTGTTCTTGTCTAGTTTATATTACGTTTTCTGATATATGAGTGATATTTAAGAAAGTATTAAAATTCCAAGGATAAATTGTAATTTATGATAAAGTAAATGATTGAAATAATTTAAAACGTTCACATTCACGATTTTTTAATGCTCCATACTTAACTTAGTTATTGTAAAATCCAAACTGAGGTTTAGGACTGAGCAATAACTGTCTTGGTAGTTTAGATACACGCTATTGCCCAGCTGAAAGCAAAACAAGTGATTTGGGTAAATAACAGTTCGAATATTCATTATAAATATAAATGTACATCAATACCTAGACAAATATTACAACTCATTTATTGCACCAACGATTGTTAAATCAATCAAATCAATAGCAACAAATAAATGTTATTCTATCCTTTCTGGGTAGATCAGATTCATTCGAAAGATATTATTCGGTTGCTTTATAACACAGAATGTTTCTTATTCTGGAAGAGTGCTTCAATTCACAATCATAATGCACAATTCCAGTCAATCCAAGCAACACAATCAAGGCAGGAACAAGACAATATGGCTACCGCCACGACTAAGTATCAGCTGAAACAACATAATTGCAGTTCAGAAAGAAACGTAGCAACTCAGTGAAGGCAAAAGAAATAGGAACTATAATAAAATACAAATATTTTCATCTCAAATGGAGTCGAACAGATTAACAAAATGAAGGAATCAATAAGAACAAATTACAAGTGTATACATGGAGGGATTTTCACAAACAAAGCTTCAAAAATGGATCTTACAGTCATCATCATTGACCTTCGTCATCTTCAGACATTGATAATGGACATTGAACATAGAAGAGTGTTCACCAAATATTTGTGACAGTATATCAACATTTGCATTAAAAGTAGAACTCTTGGTTTCTTTGAAAAAAAATGCCGCTGTAGCTTTCATGTTCATTAGGGCCAAGTTTGCTGACCTTATCGACGTCATCAAGTTTGTCTAGGTCAACCATGAACAACTTTCCATATTTCTTGAACCAAGATTCAAACGTGATAACAGACAAACAATCAAAATAAAAATTCATGAATAGAATAAAGGATCGAATAGGCGTGTGATCTGACCGGTTCAACAGTATGATCCTTCTGATTGAGGTTCAGCTGCAGCATTAAAGTTTATAGTTTACGCACTTGGAATGATTCAAACTGTTTCTACATGTTCAAGAGAAAATAACATTGTGAACCGTTGACCCCTGTAATCAGTGTCATTTCTGCTACTAGAACGATCAATACACAATTCAGCCTTTAGCATTTGAACAAATAGAACTGTCTTCGGGTAGCAAATCAAAAGCTAGAAGAGACAGAAGAAATCTTAACTCTAGTAAGTGTCCGAAATGTACAGAGAAACTGTGTGTATTCATAGTTTTTTCTATGGAGTGAAAATAGTCGATAAAGTCATCCAGTCCTCAATAAGTGATGTTATGTCGTCATTCAATCAGCTTATACCGCACTGATATCCTAAAAATTCTTTCAAGCTGTGACTGGATGAAAGTGCTTCGAGTTATTGGAAGCCTTTGAAAGCTTTTCTGATCCAGTCCAACAGATGATCTACGAATATTTCATATTGCTTATGTCGCAGGCTTGACTTTGTTATTGATCAACTTAAGCTTACTTTCAAGCTACATAAATAAATGAGAAAAACAATCTTATCTTCCACTTTATGTGAATTGGCCACTTAATCTACTGCACTACACTTTTGTTTTCTATAACATCTGTGATATATTTTCAAGAAGTGATGTTTTCCATTGAATGAGTGATATACTAGTGAATTGTACAATTTTAGTTTAGAGCACGTCTAAAGAAATTTGTCTTAGATATATAAATAGATTGTACTCTATCTTTAATTGCTCCCATAAACCATTCAAATGAAATTAACTTTCAATGAAAGTAAAGGTCAAAATAAATAAAAACATTTCTAAATATTGTTATAAAAGATTTTTTTAAAAATGTTGTATATACGTAGAAGTAAATTATCGCATACATAATTTGTGGAATCTTTATACAAAAAGCATTATTTTACTAAATGTATAATTTAGAATAACTACGTAAAAGATGCATATTCTTATGTCTAGACTATACCAGATCATATGACAATCAAATGAATTAAGTAACGTTTTTTTTAGTAAGTTGATATTCTACATTATTTATTAACTATTTCATATTATCTCATATAGCACAGTGTAGACATTTCTATCATTTCAATCAACCTTCATCTTTTATTCTTAAGATTTCTATTCAAGAATAATTAATTACAGGACAATTTCTAGTTGATAAATGTAATTTAAACTGAGACATGATAGATAACATGACTGATCATTTTATTATTTTCATAGATTTTATATAACATGAAACTCATGAAGTTATTTGAAAATTCTATATGAGATCTGTAGT